CATTCAATTACCCTAGCTTGCCTGAGAAAGGACGCATGTGCCCTTAGCTTATTAAAATTCTCCTTGCAGTTCATCGTAATTACTAAAATACCAGCGCGAAAATTCAATTATTTGGTAAAATCCTGGACGTTGAAAGAGCGCATCTAATGGTCTAAAATAATTCTCATTTCTGTCATTGTAATCTTTTCTCATTTGAACATATCACTGTTAGCAGGAAGGCCAATAGCTCTTGGATGTGGAACTCATGGCTGTCAGTGAGAGACTCTATCAAAGCAGGCTTATGCTATCAAATCAGAAAAGGGAACAAGGTAAAAATCTGGGAGCATCCTTGGTTGCCAACTGTTCAAGGCCAAATTCCCTCAGCCATCAGCCAAGAAGCTAAGAACTACACTTTGGTGGAAGAGCTGTTAGACAACACAGGCAGGAACTGGAACAGGGACTTAGTGAAAAGACTTTTCTCTGATACTGATAGTGAAGCCATCCTCAACCTTAAAGATCTGGACCCATCTCTTGAAGATAAACTTCGTTGGAAGCATGACAAGAATGGTACACTATCAGTGGCTTCAGTCTATGCTAAGCTAGCAGATGATAAATGGAGGAACATGGATATTGCTGAGTCCAGCAAAGATCATTCAGATGCCAAAGCTATGAGAAAGAGAAGCTGGAGCCTTAGAATCAAAGGAAAAATTAGACATTTTATTTGGAGAAGTGTAGAAAATCTGCAGCCAGTTCTCTTAACTCTGTTCAATAAGAAGCTAGCTCATGATCCTATTTGCAGAATCTGTGGCAGTGAGGTGGAGTCTCTGGAGCACTTGTTCTTTCTCTGCCCTCGAGCTCAAATCATTTGGAAACTCTCCCCAGTCTCCTGGGATGGAATGGAGTCTGACAACCTTAACTTCAAAAGATGGTGGACTAGACTTTGCTTGATCAAGAATTCGGTTGGTGTAAGTGACAGAATTAATCTCACAGCATACATCCTGTGGTCAATCTGGAAATCCAGGAATTTAATCCTATTTCAAAACATCTGGAAACCGGAAAAGTTTGTGGTTGAATCTGCCTGCAAAGAGTGGCTGGAATACTCTGCTTCTTTTGTGTAAAT